TTTTTTTTTTGGAGGGGGGGGGCGGGGCGAGTTTCAACACCTTTCGGGTTTGGGGTGGTTTGCTATGTAGAAGCGTCCCAGTAGTTCGGGGTTTGGGTTCTATTTGGCTCTAGAACAGGGTTTAGGGTTTAGGGTTTACAGTTTAATTAGGGTTTAGGGTTTATAGGGTTCAAAGTGCATACTTCCCGAGTAAAACCCAAAGCCTTAAACCCCAAATCCGAGTTGCGGAGACTTGGGGGCCCTATAAGATAACTGGGGCTTACGGTCTATCTGTGGCTGCTACTACCTCCTTATGCGCCATACCCACTTTGCGGCCATGACATACCAATCTGCCGTGCTTTGGGATACAGGTACTCCAGGCTCCACACCCTGGTTTCCGACTAAGGATCAAGTTTGTATTTTTGTTGTTCAGCTCCTTTTTCCGCCTGCATAAAGGATCAAGTTTAGGGTTTAGGGTTTAGGGGATATCGATCCCTGTACAGTGGGCATGTAGGATCCAGGATTCCTGAATCAAGTTCCTGCCTTGGGGTTGGGGTCTACTATAACTCCCGGGATCATTGAAACAATGCATCGGGTGCGTATCATATTGAAACCTAGACCCTAAGCCCTAAACTAGAAGCACTATCGGGGAAGAGTAGCGAGGTCAGGATCTCTCGGAACTTGGATGTAGATGAGGAGCCCCTGGACATGAACCTGAACAGGCATCTACTAGAGTGCCCTTTAACATGTATAAGCGGTTTGAGTGTAGATCATAGTATACTTGTCGGAGTCACAAAGGGGCTGGCTAATAATTATCCAGGCATCCATCTTATAACATAGAGCCCCAAACAACCACCTGCGAAGGCTCAGGGTGCTTACTCTACGGGTCCAAGTATGCTCTGATCACATACTCCCCAAAACACAAACCTACAGTCCAAACCCACCATATACTTCCCTGGATGCCAGCCGAAAGTTTCGAAGATCCCCTAAACCCTAAACCCTAAACCCTCTGCCCATTCTTGGGTTCATCGGTCTATCAGGGTGCGCGGGGAGTAGCATGCGTCTCTGAATAGTTACTAGAATCTTCTTTCAGGGCCCGACACAGCGACAAACCTAATCTATATTAATTACATTATAAGGCCCTACATTGAAACCACATAAGAGTACTGCAAAGCCCTGTACTGGAACACGTCTCTAATCTTTAACACCTCGAAACTAACCTCCAAAACACTGTAAAGCCCAAAGTACCGCAACCTTTCTTCAGTTTCTGAAGATCCGTATTAAGCCTCCTACACTACTGTTGATGATATAAACCCTGTATTACCTTAAGGGCCCTAAACTATGGGAATTATGGTAGATCCCTTATCCCTTCTTCTGGGTAATGCAGGATTTATCTCATCAGCCGTATAAAAGCTTTATCAAGCCCCATCAAACCTTACAAACGGTGCGTTGTAACAGTGTAAGCACTGTACAATCGTTAGCGAATGTTTGAGGTTCGCATATGGGTAGTTCTCTAAACTAGGGTTCCTTTTTAGGGTTTAGAGAACTTCCCATATGAAACCCCGAAACCCCAGACCTAAACCTTAGACCCTAAACCTTAAACCCTAGACCCTAAACCTTAAACCCTAGACCCTAAACCTTAAACCCTAGACCCTAAACCTTAAACCCTAAACCCTCAACCTTAAACCGTAAACCCTAAACCCTACACCTTAAACCCTAAACCTGAAACCCTGAACCCTATACCCACAGTCCTTCCGGATTTGCAGTGCATCGCTGCCAGGTTCGGTTGCAGGCGCTTTCCGCTTCATTGCTCAAAACCGGGCTGGGCGTTTTTAGGGCAAAGATAGCATAAGGGCCTTAATAATTGGAATAAGGCTCCTTTAAAGGGTTCCGTAAAAGGGATACTATAAGGGTTCTACGATAGGGTTCTCTATACTAGGGGCCTTAATAATTAGAATAGGGCTCCTCTAAAGGGTTCCATAAAAGGGAGACTATAAGGATTCCATGATAGCGTTCTATATTAGGGGCCTCAATAATTAGAATAGGGTTTTGGGGACATACTATACTACATTTCAGGGACCCCCCCAAGATAGTATAGGTAATTTGTTAGGCCCCTTTGCCAATTTCTAAAGTGTTTTTTGGTGTGTTGCTCTTGGGCCCAGGGTTAAGGTCTTGGGGTTCAGGGCGTCCGGATCTATGGCTTCTAGATGGGGGCTTCCGAAAATAGGGGACCCTAATATAGTACCCTAAAATAGTAGGATCCTTATTAAAAGAACCCCAAACTAAGGTACCCATTATTTCGGAAACTCTCATATGGCTTTAAGGTTCTAGCTGTGTTTCTGGGTGGTAAAGTTTGATGCTACGAGATTGGGAGGTGGGGGATCTCCCTCAGTGCCCGGTGTTGTTGGGATTCAGGATTTCAGACCATGACATTTCCAATCGGGGATGGTTCTGCGGCTGGCTTGGGAGTTTGGGGGTTATCCGCCTTTACTGCATGTAATGCGGAACCCGCAACTCTAAACCCTAAGCCGATAAGATAAAGAAACCAGGAGGCAGTTTTACTGAACGGGGAGGTCTAGGGCACTGGAACTTGCAGGTGCCGCAGGCCATGGGCAGCGCACACTGAAAGCTTACATGGCTTAAGGCTTCTAAGGTTGAGGGTTTAGGGTATGCTGGACCTTTCATTGGTAAAGATGTACGAAAGCACCTACCTTGGGTAATTCATGATGTATGGCTTGATCTGTGCAGCTCTGGGATGAGAACCGGAGGTTTGGTCAAACAACCGGTGCCAAAGCATCCGTAAACTTCACTCCGCGCTGCCGCCGGAAACCCTTAGGCCGCGATTGGCGACCCCTCAATCCTAAACTAAACCCTAAACCCGCTCAAGTCATCAAGCCAAGCCATGAACGCCTCAACCCCTAGACTCGGAAGGCTTATTCTTCTTTCAGCTTCCCATTGATCATATTAACTTCCAGACAGCTTAATACGAGCTTGATGCCCTAAACCGTACCTCCTGCGCCTCTACCTCTGAACCCTCTGACCGTCCCCCTCGTTGCCACCTGAGCTCTTTCGATGGAGGTTGTATTGGCCTGGCGGGCTTTGGAACTTAACTTCTAAGTGCTTCGACCACATCTTGCCATTACTACTGTCACTGTCCATGATACATGTGTGAGTAATTCTCTAAACGAGGGTCCCTTTTTAGTTAGGTCCCCAAACTAGCACGGCACCCTTATAAGCCCTAAACCTTAAACCCTAAACCCTAAACCCTGATTTAGAGAACCTACCCATGTGGTTGATTCGTCTGTTGGGACTCGGAACCTGCAAGGACTCACATCTTCAGCCCTGTAGGACAGCGCAACAGTTTAGGGTTTAGGGTTTAGGGTTTAAACCTCACAGTTTCATGAGTTCATGGTCCTGCAAAACTGCTTTGCCTAACGTGCCTGGTAGGCTCTCTTGCCATTCAGCTCCTCTAGAGTCCCACCGAGTGCTCGGGATTATCACTGTGGAGATGGTCGTGATTGGTGTTTGGTCCCCTACTTGCACGGTGGAGGGCCAGGGAGTGGTCTTAGCCAACGAAGCCAAGTCTTCCAGCGCCAATATACTGTGAAATTCGAGCCTCTAAAATCCCTCAACCTTATTAAAACCCCGAATAACCTGCCCGTTTTGTCAGAACTGATAGAAAGAGATCGGTTTATAGGGTCTAGGTCGGATATACATCCCTAAACCAAAAACCCTAAAACCCTAAAGCCCTAAACCCTAAACCCTAAACCCTAAAAACCTAAACCCCAAAACCCTAAACCCCCAAACCCTAAACCCTAAATCCCTAAACCCTAAAACCCAGGCCTCAAAGATCAGGCCACGACCGGAGAGTCCGCAACTTCCCCAAAACACCACACAACTTAGGGGCCTTGTTACTTACCCATATAGGTTTAGGGTTTCAGAACACCACGCC